AGGATTATGAGAAGGAGCTAAGAGCTCTGAGGAACCAGCAGAAGAAAGACCGCCGAGATGCCGATGAAGTTACTCAAGTCATGATCACAGAATGCCAGGCTCTCCTTCGGTTGTTTGGTATCCCATACATCACTGCACCCATGGAAGCCGAAGCACAATGCGCCGAGCTTGTTCGGATAGGACTAGTTGACGGTATCGTGACAGATGACTCGGATACATTCCTGTTTGGCGGTACTCGCGTGTACAAGAACATGTTCAACAGCAATAAATATGTCGAGTTGTACCTTGGCGTTGACCTTGAAACGGAACTGTCTCTTTCTCGAGAGCAGCTCATTTCGTTGGCGCACCTTCTTGGGTCTGATTACACAGAGGGCCTACCCGGCGTTGGTCCCGTCACGGCCGTTGAGATTCTTTCTGAATTCCCAGGCAAGTCTGGTCTGCAGAACTTTCGGGAATGGTGGCAAGAGGTGCAATCGCAAAGCCGGCCCAAGGACGCCGACGCTTCATCAACATTCCGAAGGAAGTTTCGAAAGTCCCAGGCCACGAAGCTATTCCTTCCTCCGGGGTTTCCCAGTTCGGCCGTTTACGACGCTTACCTTCATCCAGAGGTGGATGACAGCAACGAGTCGTTCAAGTGGGGAGTTCCGGACGTGGAGGGCTTGCGGCAGTTCCTCATGGCCACAATCGGGTGGAGCAAGGAAAGGACGGACGAGGTTTTAGTACCAGTCATCAGGGACATGAACAAGCGAGATCGTGAAGGTACGCAGGCCAACATTACAAGATTCTTTGGGGGTGGCGTGGGTGTTGGTGCGAAGGAAGCATTTGCGCCCCGACAGAAAGGGCAGGGCAGCAAGCGAATGGCGGCGGCTGTGGACAGATTGCGGGCGAACGTCGCCGGTGAAGGTTCTTCTGCAATCAGCTCAGGTAATACCCAGAACAATGCTGGAAAACGAAAGCGAGCGGCAAGAACCGATGTCGTGGATGAAGATGAAGGAGAGGCTGAAGATGAAAGGGTTGAGGAGGCACTGCCTTCAAGGAGTCGAGGCAAGAAGCGGACCAAAGCGACGTCATGAGATTTGTGTTAGAATTACTACAGGTAAATGACCCATTTTGGATATCTATAGCAGGTAATGCGAGTCTTTGATGATAGAAACTTCAATGAATGAACACTCATAGAAGCTATTCGCACTCGTTCAAGAGGACTTTGATATGGGAATAAATCGGAGTTCGGAACATTTCAACGGTTATCGAGGAGGACCCACACCCCACGTCCTTCCAGGTTCAAGGGGGCAAAGGGGAACCAAGAGGAACAGAATACCCAAAGATTGCGGTGGCTAAACTTCGGCAGAACTTTCTCGCTCACGTGCCGTCTTTGTCGTCACGATATGGGATCGGCTGCTTCGCAAGTTCACGCAGAACAAAGTGGTGCGCCTTGAAATCTTGCGAAGGACACATCCCCGATTTCTCTACCTATTATTTGTTTGTTTGTGCGTTGCTGCCGTTGTCGCAATCTCTTCTCTTACACGCACCTCTTTTGGTCAATCTCCTACAGCATTCTCCGACAACCTTGAACTCGTCATGGATCAACGAGAACTAGAATCGCGCATCAAGGCGCTCACCAAGTGCGTCGCGGCCAATGAGCCCGCTGAGAACGCCATCAAGATGCTCGACACATTGAAGAAAGAGGCCAAGCCGACCGAGGAGATGCTTAGGGTAAGCTTGTCCCCATCGCTATCTTGCGCCATGATGGGTTGCGCGTGGAGGAGAATTGGAATGTGTGTTGCCTAGATGGTGCGCGCATCCCACGACATGCGCGCAACTGCGGGCTACACGGATATACAGGCGCTCTCCCTGCCTATTCATTGCCTGCGTGTCTGTCTAACCATTTTACTAACCCCGCCCTCCCTCAACAGGCGACTCGCGCCGGTGTCTTTGTCGGAAAGCTTCGATCAAACTCCAACAAGGATATCGCCCGCGCCGCGACTGAACTCGTCATCAGCTGGAAGAAGCTAGTCGAGAAGGAGAAGAAGTCGAAACTTGCAATGGCCAAGAAGGGCTCCCCCGCGCCGGCTCAAACCTCGTCGCCCGCTCCCCCCTCATCATCCGGCGGCACCAAGCGAGCCTTCAAGGGCGACCCCGAGAAGCGAAAGTTCAGCAGCGACGGCGTCGACATCAACCGCACCGACTCCAACGTCCGAAACCAGTGCATCGGTCTTGTCTACAATGGCCTTGCTTACCGATCGACCATCTCCGAGTCTGATGTCATCGCCAAGGCCGTGACCGTCGAGCACGCTGCTTTCTCCCACTACAATGGAGAGGGTACCGAATACAAGAAGAAGATCCGATCGCTTTTCGCCAACCTCAAGAACAAGTCCAACAGGGAGCTAGGACGACGCGTCTTGTCTGGAGAGGTGTCGCCGGACAAGTTTGTGACCATGTCTGATGACGAACTGAAGAGTGAGGACCAGCGCAAGAAGGAGGTTGAGCTGGAGAAGGAGAACATGAAGAAGGCGCAGGTCCCCATGGCTGAGAAGAGTATCAGTGATAGCTTGGAATGCGGCCGTTGCAAGCAGAAGAAGGTCTCCTACACGCAGGCTCAGACCCGAGCCGCCGATGAACCGATGACGACGTTCTGCGAGTGCATGAACTGTGGGCACCGCTGGAAGGTATGTGTCATTTTCCCAATTCTACGGTCAAAGCCTGGGGCTGACATGCAGCACTTTAGTTCTCATAAACGGTGTCTCTGGTGGCAGCGGGGTTTCACCGCGCAACAACAGCGTTGGCTTGGGTGTGATACAATAAGAGGGAATTCGGAGTTCATGGAAATACGGAGCGGTGAATTAAAACTTGTAGCAGGAACAAAGACTTCGGGGCGCGGATACCTTTCACTTACTGCTGTCTTACAAAGATATTTTTCTTTTATTTTTCATTACACCTCAGCGAAGAATAAAAAAATTCGAAAGGCCCATCTGGGATTCCGAGTGATTGAGACAAACATGAAGAAATGATGATGGTGTTGGATCCGCGCCTTTCTTGTACATGGAGACATATTCTTTTGTAACTTTTTACTGCATTCTTCTAGTTCTTGGGTATCCCTAGCTCGGAAAACAAGTCAGACGCCTTCTCATCCCCTTCCCGGCCCATCTCCTTGATGTGCTTCCAGAACTTGCTCAGATGCCGCGAACCCGAATCGCACAGGATGGTAACCACAGTGCTCGCTGGGGGAAGCGTCATTGCCGTGACGACAGCCGCAGCACAGTTGACGGAGCTGCTGCTGCCGACAAAGATGCCGTCGTGCTCAACAAGCCATCGCGCCATCTTACAAGCTTGGTCGTCGGTCACTTTGACAGCGTCGTCGACCAGTTCCCGCCCGGCTTCGAAGTTTTGCGTCAGGCGCGTGATGCCGATGCCTTCCACCATGGTGTCAACTTGCTGGCGGCGACGAGTCCCCTCGCGCTCTGTTGACGAATACATCACGCCGTGGCGGACCTTGTTGTACAGCCCGCTGCCCTGCGGGTCGGCGAGGACAACCTGCAGGCCGGAGAGCTTCTGCTCTTCCTTGAGGTACTTGGCTACTCCGGAAAGCGTGCCACCCGTGCCGGCGCCAGCCACAAAGGCGTCCAGGTTTCCGCCCGTCTGTCGCCAGATCTCGGGGCCCGTCGTGCGGGTATGCGCCTGCCAGTTGGCATCCGACTCGAACTGGTTCGCAAAGAAGCCCTGGCTGCCGTCCTTGTGCGTCTCGGCGTGCTCGACGGCGTAGCGGCGGGCCAAGTTGACGAAATGGTCGGGGCTGGTGATGGGCGCAACGGCGACGCGCTCGACGGTGGCGCCGAGCTGCAGCAGCAGATCCGACTTTTCCATGGCCATGTCGTCGGGCATGCAAATGTGGGCGCGGTAGCCCTTTGCACGAGCGAGAGTCGCCAGCGAGATGCCGGTGCTACCAACAGTGCCCTCGTAAATGGTGTCTCCGCGGTGCGGAACGAGAAGGCCTTGGGCCTCGGCCTCGCGAATCATGTTGAGGGCCACGCGATCCTTGGGACTGTTCCCGGCGCCGTTGAGGAACTCGGCCTTTGCTAGGATGGTGCGGCCCGTGGCGTCGGAGAGGGACTGGATCTTGATGAGCGGCGTGTTGCCGATGCAAGCCTCGATGCCATTGCCGACTGCATCGGTGCCTCGCGAGAGTGACGGTGAAGAGTGTCCCGCTGATGATTCATGGTCTTCGAGCTTGACGGGCGCACTCCAGAAATAACTTCCCCGCCGAGCATCGCCAGATCCTCGTGAGCGGCGCTTGCGCTGGTAGCGACGTTCGAGGTCGGGATAAAAGTCCTTGAAACCAAGCGTCACCAGGATGCCCGCTGTAAAAGCAAAGGCAACGGCTGCTGAGCCGTATGCCTTTGGATGGTCGCTAAGAGCCATAGGAATAGCTTATGGCCCCGTTATAAAATGTTTGTGTGAACCGTTGGCAGCTCATGACATGGGGAGGCGAGAGTCATGAGTGAAGCCTTTTGCATAAAAATTGGCGCGCACGGTGATGTCGTCATGATTTATACTGTGAGGACGGGCAGTGTAAGTGGCATCATAGCGAGACTACGTCGAGCACCATGACAAGAAGAATATTAAATGCGACTGGATATCGAGAAAGCCTTTGAACTACTTGCATTTGGAATGCCCAACGTCTCCTTCCAGGTCAGTCCTGGATAACAGGCAACCACCGATGATTGCAACAGTTCTACTTAGACGCAACTACGTTCGAGACGAAGAATTCAACAAGCTCCGAATCAGCTCAGTGGCTTGCCTTCAATGACAAACATCCATGTGTCCGTTGCATACAAGGTCCAACACAATAAACCAAAAAAATAGACGGCAAGGGTTGCTTGCTTCATCTCGTGAGAGCGCAACTTATGATGAGCACAATTGGTCAAGGGTAAATGGGAACAGGGCGAACAGCCGCTGGGTTAAGAACCAAAAAGAGCTAAAATACACAAACTGTCAAAAAGAAACGACACCTGCAGGATTCGAACCTGCGCGTGCGAACACAATGCCTTGATACGCTGTGATAGCAGGGCATCGCCTTAACCACTCGGCCAAAGTGTCTGCTTGATGTCCTTTGCCACCACTAAACTAGACTATACCCTGTTCTCCCAGTTCCACTTACTGGCCCATTGTCTTCGTAGGTGCAGTTCTTGACTGTAATTTTCTTGCCTCAAAAAAAGCCTCCACGATGGGAGAACTTACTTCATTATCTTCAACGCCAGAATGCATATGAGAAGGATAGTATGTCATAACCTCGTTCTGGTTCAGGGTGTTGGATATAGCAACGGTAACGTCCATTAATGCAGCGATAGACGCGCCTTCGTTGACTAAGCGCCACCCTCCATCCGAGGTAAGTCCGATTTCCCGCAAGCTCGGACCCTCATTGGACATTTGGCGCGGGTACCCATGCTCCATCGTCCACCATGGATTGATCTTCGGTTCAAAGGCCACAACCCATGATGCCGTTGCCGCTTCACCTTTAACACGGAAAAGGTAGAAGCCCAGCATGGATTCTCCCATTGTGGCACAACTATTTCGCCACTTGTTCCGCCACCGTCCTCGCGGCTGTCAGGGCCAACTTCCACGCCTGAGCAATGGCTTGAGAAGCAATGGAGAGCTTGTTGGCATGCCTCATGGTGGCCGACGGCGGCATGGCCACCAAACCCGGTCCTATGTTGCGAGACCCTCTCGTGATAGGGGCATGAAGACGAACGAGAGTCGATGGCAGATGCGCACCAACATTCTCCCCGAGGATCGATCTGCCGAATTTGCAGAGTATCCCTACATCACCATGCCCGAGCTCAAGCTGCGGTCCGAAAGGCCTCGCAAGGTCAAGATGTTGCTCCGGGACTTCATCGACGGAAAGTTACCAATTGCTGCTCTAATTGCCGACATTTGCTAATTCTTGCATGTAGACAGCCTTTACAACCCCCACTACGGCTACTTCTCCAAGCAGGCCGTCATCTTCAGCCCCGGCGAGCCCTTCGACTTCTCCACGATGCGGGACGACATCGAGTTTCAATCCGTCCTTGGCGAGCGCTACACTGAGTTTGAGGACCTCCTCGACGACCGCGACGGCGAGAATCCAACGCGCCAGCTTTGGCATACGCCCACCGAGCTCTTCCGCCCTTACTACGGCGAGGCCATTGCCCGCTACCTCGTCTCTAACTACCGCCTCACCACCTACCCCTACCACGACCTCCTCATCTACGAAATGGGCGCCGGTCGCGGCACTCTTATGCTCAACATTCTCGACTACATCCGTGAGGTCGATCCCCAGGTGTATGCTCGCACAAAGTTCAACATCATCGAAATCTCCTCGTCCCTCGCCGCCCTCCAGAACCGCCACTTGCTCTCCACGGCCGCCTCGCGGGGACACGCCGACAAGGTCGAAATCATTAACCGCTCCATATTCGATTGGAACCAGTACGAGCCATCGCCGTGCTTCTTCCTCGCTATGGAGGTCTTTGACAACTTCTCTCACGATGGCATCCGCTACGACGTTACCACAGAGGAGCCCTTGCAAGGCCATGTCCTCGTAGACGGAGACGGCGATTTTTACGAGTTCTACGTCCGAGAGCTTGATCCAATCGCTGCTCGCTACTTCCGCGTGCGCCATGCTGCAACGGGCGGCAACTATCCCAAGCCGTATCCGAAAAACGCCATGCTACGCTATATCTCCACCAAGATGCCCTTTGCCGCCAACTTGTCAGACCCCGAGTTCATTCCGACGCGCCTCATGCAGTTCTTCGATGTCCTCGAGAAGTACTTTCCGGCCCACCGTCTTGTCACCTCCGACTTCGACTGGCTACCGCAAGCTGTGAAGGGGTTGAATGCGCCCGTCGTCCAGACTCGTTATCATCGACGGATGGTGCCGGTGACGACTCCTTTGGTATGCCCCAACGAATTTGCCCCTATCATTTCGCCAACTAACAAATTGTAGGTCCACCAGGGCTACTTTGATATCCTCTTCCCCACCGACTTCCGCATCACCGAGGCAATCTACCGCGCAATCACGGGCAAACTGACGCGGGTAATGTCCCACGGCGACTTCATGCGTAAGTGGGCATATATCGAGGATACCGAAACGCGTAGCGGCGAGAACCCTCTGATCTCGCAGTATCGTAACGCTAGCGTTCTTGTGACCGTGTAACAATAGAAAATTAAACAGGAGGATGTATGAAAGGGACGTTGTATTCATGGATGTCGAACAAGAAAAATAATACCCCGCTATGAAACAACCAGTCGAGTTGGCTGGAAATACAACCACTCAAAACTCTCATGACATGTCCCATTTCAACATGATATTCTATGTAATTCGTGATTCGCCATTCATTGGTCTGACCGTCCATTGACCAAGCTATATAACCTCAATTTTCCCATGCAACCAAACTCAGAGCTACTACTACATGTGTGAACATTTTCCTTTTTAAAACGACCCATTCTACAATTTCAGCTTCTCGCTGAGCCACTTTGTCGCTGTCTCGACGCCCTCGTCAATGTTCTCAGGCTTGGTGCCCTGGCCTTGTCGTGAGGGTTCCTTGCCACCAGATCGGCCACCAATGACCTCGGACACGGACGCTGCCCAATGCTCGGCGGTGACACCTTGGGAGGAGAGGTGCTGGAGAGACATGTTAGTATTTTGTTGTCAGTCACAAGTAAGAGGAGAACTTACAGATCCGACAAAGACACCGTGGACGACAGCACCCTCCTCCTGGCTACCGCCAAACAGGTACACAGTCTTGTCCTTCTTCTTGCTCTGGAAGTGCTTCACCACTTCCGTCAAAGCTTTAGGGTTGGCGCTCACGGGCAGCCGACCAACGAACCACTGTGATTCCTTGTTCTCCTCAAAGTGCTTGAGAACGGTATCAAGAGCAGTCTTGGCCTCCGCCTTCTGTCGCTTCTTCTGTTCCGCGACGACCGAGGCAGAGATCTTTTGGAAGTGCTTGTTGAACTCCTCTTTGGTAAGAGTGGAAATGGTGAGCTGGCTAAGGTCCTGTGAGACTGCCTTGAGCTCAGCCTCCTTTTCAGCACCAAAGGGGAGCCTGTCAAGAGCATCGAGCTTCTTGGAAAACTCCTCAGCCTCGCGCTGGACACGGTGCGCCTCAGCGCCGGTGTAGGCAATGATACGGCGAATGCCCTTGGCGATACCGCTCTCCTCAACAATGACAAGGTCCTTGATCAAGCCAGTCTCCTCAACGTGAGTACCACCGCAGAACTCAACGCTGTACTTGCGCCACTCAACGTTCTTGGGATCAGCAAGCATAGTGTCAATGTCCTTGCCGATGGAGACTACACGGACAGGGTTAGGGTAGGTCTCGCCAAAGACGGCACGGCAGCCCTCAATCTGGCGGGCCAGATCCAAGTCAACATCCTTGGCAAAGATCTTGGAGTTATCCTGGATATACTTGTTGGAGTTGTCTTCAATCTTCTTCAGCTCGTCAAGCTTCACACCAGTCTTGTGGGAGAAGTCGAATCGGAGCTTGTCATCGTCTACGAGCGAGCCTTTTTGGTGAATTTCATCACCCAGGACCTCACGTAGAGAGTGGTTGAGAATGTGAGTTCCGGTATGGTTATTGCGAATTGGTGCGCGGCGGAGCTCATCGTACTCGCAGATAACCTCGTCACCAGAAGACAGCACACCTTCCACAATGTAACCACTGTGAAGAATGTAACCACCGAAGTTCTGGACATCCAAAACGTTGAACGAAGCCCCGCCGTCAATGACCAATCTACCAGTATCGGCGACCTGACCACCAGACTCGGCGTAGAAGTTGGTGTTGTCCAACAAGATTCCAATGGCAGTCTTCTCGGGAAGATTGTCGGTGGACTTGTGGAAGCCCTTTCCGTCGTAAATTAGCTGGACCTTGCCCTTGCTGTCACCCCTGGCAAACTTGGCGTCGTCGTTGGTTCGGGCAATCGAAAGCTGCTGCTCCAACTCGGCAATCTGATGCACGTCAAGCTTGGAGAAAGTCTGGACTGACTCCTTGACAGCCTTGCTGGCCTCACGAGCCTTAATCCTGGCAGCCTCGACCTCGGCGTCGTCAATCTCTAGGTTTCGCTCCTCAGCCATCAATCGGGTAAGATCGACGGGAAAACCAAAGGTATCGTATAGTCGCCACACAACATCACCCTCAAGCTTCTTAGAGCCCTTCTTGGTCGTCTCGGCAGCGTACTTCTCGAACTGGGCCTCACCACGATCCAAAGTGCGGGCAAAGGCAACTTCCTCCTCGTCAAGAATCTCACGGATATCCTGCTGCTTCTTAATCAGCTCAGGGAACTGCTCACCCATCTGATCAAGAAGGGCAGGCAGAATCTTGGAGAAGAAGGAACCGATATCGGCGTTGAAGTATTTCCTGGCATACCGGACACCACGTCGAAGAACTCGTCGAATAACGTAACCTCGGCCATCGTTGTTGGGGACAGCACCATCGGCAATGGAGAATGAGAGGGTTCGGATATGATCAGCAATGACTCGATAGGCGGTGTCGATTCCGTCGACATCGTCCTTTCCGTACTTGTCAGTGTAAGGGCGAGCACCCGTGACTTGCTCAATCTGCTGGAAGAGAGGGGTGAAGCAGTCGGTGGCATAGTTGGAAACGGTATCCTGGAGAGCAGAGACAAGTCGCTCATAGCCCATACCTGTGTCGACGTGCTTGGCGGGGAGCGATTTTAGGCCTCCGTCCTTCTGGCGATCAAATTGGATAAAAACGTTGTTCCAGATCTCAACAACCATGGGGTCATCCATGTTGACGAGGCTGGCAGCGTTTCGTCCCCCACCAACCTTGTCGTAGTGAATTTCACTGCAAGGACCGCAAGGACCCTGGTCACCCATTTCCCAGAAGTTGTCTTTCATGTTACCGGGGATGATGTGGTCCTCAGGAACACCAACCGACTTCCAGAGCTCCTTGGCTTCTAGGTCTGGCTCGAGATTGAGATCAGGGTTGCCTTCGAAATATGTCACGTATAGACGGTCGGAGTCGAGGCCATAGACCTTGGTCAAAAGTTCCCAAGACATCGAGATGGCCTCCTTCTTGAAGTAGTCGCCAAAGGACCAGTTG